GCGGGCCCCGCTCCGCCGCTCCCCGACCCCGCCGGAGCCGCCGCCGGGACCATGGAGTGAGTACCGGAGCCGCGCCGGGACCCCGGCACCGGGCCGCGGCCCCCCCGGGCCCCGCCGGCTGAGACCGCAGTAGCGGGGAGGGGGGAGCGGGGGCCGGGGCTCGGGACCCCCGCGCCGGGGCTCCGGGAAGCTCGCTCTGCCGGCTCACGGAGCTCGTACCGGGGGCTCGTACACCCCCGATGCCGGGGCTAGGGAGTCGGAACCTGGGGTCTCGTATCCCCTTGCTCCTGGGCACTCAGCACCCTAAAACCGGGGGCGCGCATCCCCCTGATTCCGGGGATTCAGGACTCCAGTACTGGAGGTTTTTATCCCCCTATGCTGAGCCTTGGGACCCCAAAACCGGGGGTGGGGCTCGCATTCCCCCCCCCCCCCCCCCCCCCCCCGTTCTTGTGACCCCAAAACAGAGGGCTCCCATCCCGCCAGATACTGGAGATCAGGACCCCAGTACAGGGGGCTCCCATCCCCTCGGTTCCGGGGCTCGGGACCCCGATTCCGGGGCCTCCTTCCCCCCGGTGCCGCTCAGCAGGTGCGGCCCCTCCCCGGTACCCGAGGGCCGGCCCGGGGGGCAGCAGCAGAGGCCCCGGTGCGGGTGCGGGGGTGCGGAGGGTGCGAGGGGTGTCGGGGCTGGCAGCGGTGCAGGAAGCGGGGGGTGGGGAGGGCGTTTATTTTTGTGTTTTGAACCTGTTGTTGCTGCTGCGTGTGGTGGGGTGAGTGGGTGGAAAGAGCTGCGGACCCCTCCCTGCACTGCACCCCCAGCCCCTGCCCGGGGAACCGGCTGTGGCCGGGGGATCCTCGTGAACCGGGTCCCAGCGGAGAAGTCTGGACAGACGGACACTCTCGGAGCCCGGCCTCATCCTTTGTGTGCTGCGGTGGGGCCCTGACCGGTCGCTGGGAGCTTGGAGCCGGGCGGGTGGGGGAAGGACGGAACAGGCAGAGGCCACTAGGGGCTTGTGGCCACAGGCTGTCCTACCCGCCTGCTGGTTTTGCCCCTTTGGGGACGCCAGCAGCTGCTGCCAGGATGGCACAGGGCTGGGGGGCTGCTCGAGGTGCTGGAAGCCAGCGCTGGCCCTGTCTCACCCAGGCCTTTCCTTCCCTCCCGTGGCTCTGGTGCCCACCATGGTGAACACCCCAGCAGCCGCCTGGGTTTGGCACTGGCTGTTCCTCCAGGCAGCTCGGGGTCAGCCACCCTCTGCTCCTGGTGGGCTCCTCACCCTGCAGCGATCCACTCACCAGCGGCTACTGACACCACGGGTGCTCAACAGGTCCCTCTCAGCACTGCCTGGCTCCCACCTGGGAGCCCCCCAGAGGCTGTGGGGCACTGGCAAGGGGTGGGCTGGGGGTGTCCTGGGCTCAGGGGCTGAAACTGAGCAGGGGGCACCAGCAGGGATGCGGGGATGTTGTGGGAATTGGGGTGAAGCGACTGGGGGGCTGGGGAGGCAGAGAGGCTCCCCGTGCTGCTGGAGGGGCCAGAGGCAGGGCCAAGGCTCCGGGCAGCTCCACGGCGCCACAGCCCCTGCAGGAAAGAGCCTCTTTGGGGAGGAAAAGGTGCGTGATTTGCCAAAAGGCAGCAGCGAGGGGAAGGGCAGAGCTGAGGGGTGTGACGTGCCCTGGGGAGGGGGTGAGGAGCTGCCGGGCTGGGCTCGGGCTCTCCTGGGGTGGAGGCGGCTGGGGCTGGGGCTGAGCTGGGGAATGGTGCTGGACAGGCTGGTGGCTCCTGCTCCGGGCTCCACATTCACCCTGCTCTGGGCCAACCCTCCCAGCAAGGGCCAGAGAGGCCACGGAGGGGTGCAAAGGGGTTCCCCTGCCAGCTCCATGCACTGGACCTGCCAGCGTCTCTTTCTTTTGAGTGAAAATCTGCGAGTGACTCTGGGTGGGGGGCACAGCCACGAAGAAAAACAGCAAGACTCCTCCAGCCACGGAGCTCCAGAGCCTGGCTGAGGGGCTGGAGGATTAGGGGGGCCCCAGGGCAGCTGGGGACACAGCAAGGTGCTGCCCTGCTGTTGGCCTGGCTCTGTGGCAGCCAGCGGGTGCTGGGGTGGGCACTGCTGCCTTTGCCCTGGCTCCTGCTTTGCCTTGGCACGGGCAGTGGCTGGAGGAGGGTCCTGGCTGCCACAATCCACTGGTGCCCAGGGAGGTTTGGCAGAAACTTTCCAACTCTGGTAAAGGCTGTGCTGGTCCCACTGGAGCTGCTCTTGTGCCCTCTGCTCCCGCTGCTGTCAGTGCTGGTGAGCAGCTGGAGATCCTGCATTCACATCTGGCTGCTCTGCTGTTTTGTCTCGCTTGCTGCTGCTCTCCCCTTGGCTTTGACTCCTTGGAGTGAGGGCTCTCCTGGTCCTGCCTTCCCTGATGGGAAGGTGGCAGTTGCAGGGGAAGGAGGGAGATTTCTGCCTGAGAAATAACCCATGAGTCCTGTGTGAAGGGATTCAAGCCCTTGCTCTCTGCTGGCATCCAGGGAAAAGCAAAACCCAGGCCAGACCCCGCTGCCTCCTGGCCAGCAAGGAACCAGAAGGGGTCAGCTCTGTCCTGTCCCTTTGTCCAGCTGGAGCAGCACTGTCACCCTCCCCAGCTGCCCCAGAGGAGCCCATAAAGCCCACAAAAGCACCCCACAGCAGCACCCCACAGCAGCACCCAGCCCTGCTTGGGGCTGGCAGACCATGGGGTTCAGAGCTCAGCTGCATGATGGGGCCTCTGGGCTGGACCTGTCTTGCTGGGAGGAACTGGGAGGAACTGGAGCAGGTTTCCTGGGAAGCCGCTGGTGCTGGTGTTCCTGCTTCCTGGCCAGAAACAGCCCCTTTCCCCAGGGGGTGGGGGTTCATGTGGCTGCAGCTGAGCTGGGAGCTGTGCTGGGAGCTGAGCCGGGGCTCCAGCAGCGGAGGTGCCCCAGGAAAGCCGAGGAGGTGCCGTGCCCTGGGACGGGGCTGAGTGGAGGTGCCAGGACTGGAGGCACAGCCCAGATTCCTGAGTCTCTTCAGTGCATCCAGAGACAAGCAGCCCCCAGGTCCCAGACAGGAGCCACCATCAGGGGTAAGGATGAGCCTGGAGGAGGGAGAGGAGCCGGGTGGATCCTGCCCCAGACAGGTGTTTCCTGACAGAGCGTGGCTGGACGAGGGTTGGGCCCAGCCCCTGGGCTTGGCAGCGAGGTCTGAGCTCCCTGTGGGGTGTCAGGGCTCCCAGGGGTGTCTGTGCCTGCATCCACGTTCCTGCTGGCTCCTTGGAACATCATGTGTGTCTGTGTTCAGGAACAGGAACCCAGGGATGGCTGGTGACAGGAGACAGGTGCCACATCCTGGCCAGTGCCAGGACTGCCTGTCCTGGCCAGCCGGTGCTCCTGGGGGTGGGGAGAGGCCGGCTCCACTCTCATTCATGAATCGTGGGGGGAGTTTCCTGGTGGAGCTTTGCTCCTCTAACTGGAAGGGAGCTGGAAACCCAAGTGTTTGGAGGGCACTTGAACCATTGTTTGAAAGATCTGTAATTTTCCAATCAAACTCCCTCCCCAAGCCTCCGTTCATCAAATATTCATGGGATCCATTTTCTCCTGGCACTCCCAGCCCACGTCTCAGCCCGAAGAATCAATCAGGCAGCTCCGCTTGCTCTAATGCATCTGCGTTTTCGGGAGCCTGGGGCTGCCATCTCCTCCCCCCGCCTCCCCCTGTCCCTGTCCCTGTCCCCTCCCCGGGCAGCGGCGATGGCTGAGGCTGCGCAGGGAAGGAGCGATGGGCACTGGGGTGATGCAGCAGCAGCAGGGGGAGGCAGACACTGTGGGGCAGGGCAGGAGCAGCCCCCCTGCAGCAGGACCCGGGCAGGGTCCCGACCCTGTGCTGGCCACGCGGCTCCTTGGCCGCTCGCATTTCTGGCCGTCCCTGCCCGAGCCGCTGCCGCTGATGCATTTGCCTTCGTGGTCGATGCATGGCGGCCCCGGGGCGGCTGCAGCCCCCTCCCCTCCCTCCCCTCCCTCCCCTCCCCTCCCGCGCCTGCCATCGGGGGCGTTCGATCCCGGCCCCGCTGTTAATGGCTTTGTGACAGAGCTCTGCAGCCTCCCCACGGCCGCGTCACTCCGGGCCCGGCTCCTGGCATGGAATGGAGCTGGAAATCAGCGCTGATCCCTCGATCGCTGCCTTTACCACACACCCTGGACCTGCACCCATGCAGGGCTCTCTCCTGAGTTCCCCCAGCTTGGAGCTGAGTGGGTGGGGAGGGAGGGGAGGTCAGGGGAGCAGAGGAGCAGCTTGAAACGGCTCTTCACACATTTGGATGAGCTAATGGGAAAAAACGGAGGAAGGCAAATAAACATTATTGTTTCATGTCAGGCGGGAGGAGACAAAAGGTCACGGGCTTCCCTTGTGATGGTGGGAAACGGCAACATCAGCAGGGCTGGAAAGAGCTGGAGAGCCCAGGGAGAGCACGGGCTTGTGAACAGGCGTGTGCGTGCTCACACGTGTGTGTGGGTCCAGCCTCGGGCCTGGGGATGGCTGCTGGGAGCTCCCAGGGCATCATCCCCCATGTCCCTGCTCTTTCTCCCTGCTCCTTGTCTGGGCTGGTGGCTCCTGAGGAGCTCAGTGGCCCTGGGATCACTTTCCCACCCTTGCTGGCACCCAGGATGGATCAGGAGCACCAGAACCCCTAAGGAGGCTCCGGTGATGCCACAGCTCTGCCCTGCCGGTGCTGTCAGGGTGCCAGGCCTGGGGAGGGCACCCCAGCCCTGGGGGTGCCTGTGGTCCCTCTGCCACCACGAGTATCCCCCCCACATCCCCTTGAGCATCCCCCCACATCCCCTTGGCACTCTCCCGTTGCCATAGCGCCGTTGCCATGGCACTGTTGCCAGGGAACCATTGCCAGGGAACCGCCTTCATTAGCCACAAGGGCCGGCGGCAGCGGGGCCCCATCACAGCGACCCCCGAGACAGGTCCTGGCAGGCAGGATGGGGATTTTGGGGAGCCCGGGACCCCCTCCCTCCACCTCAGCACCTGATCCCAGCAGGCAGGGACTGGGGGTGCCGGGGTGGTCCCTGCTCAGCCCCCCTCGATGGATCAGAGCCCCCAGGGCAGGGTCTAAGCAGATTGCAGCGAGGGGCATCCAGCCTGTTCTGCGTCTCTCCCTGGGCCAGGAAGATTCCTGGCGTCTGACCTGGGAATGTGGAGACTGTAGCAAATAATGGAAAATAAAGAGGATGGAGGAGGGAGGAAAAGCAGAACAGAATGTTTCAGGAATGCTGTAAAACTTTGGATCCGTGGAGCAGGGCAAGATCCAGGAGAGAAACAGGGCCCAGTTCAACACCCTGGGAGGGTGGGGTGCCAAGGGCTGGACTGAGGGGTCCTGTGGCCCCAGAGCAGGAGGGAGCCCATGCTGATGGGCAGCCCTGGGTGTGTGGGGCTGGTGAGGGACACACGGGACACACGGGACACAGGGGACACATGGGACACAGGGGTGTGAGAGCGGTGCCTGCGCCTGCGCCGGTGGAACAGTCACAGCGTCGCTGCAAACAGCACGAAAATAACACCACAAAAGCGACACCTTCCCCGCTTGTTTTCCTGGCCTGGATTTTGCGCATCGCAGGGATCCCCAGGGTGTGGGGTGAGGGGAGGACGGCGGCTCTGAGTTAATTGCTGACTTCGAGGAGGGAGCAGGCGGAGGCAGGGGCTCCTCTCACCCTGCCGAGCCCGTTTGAGCCGTGGGAAAGCCTGTGTGGAGCCCGTGTGCGGGCACATCCGTGGCTGGCACGTGGGCTCAGAGCCCAGGGTGCCATGTGTGGGGCTCAGCACCCCGAGCCCACCCTGTGTGTAAAACCACCTTCGGCAAACTCCCTCCCTGAGAGCACGGAGTCCCTTGCTCTAGGAAGCAGGCAGAGATGATCCATCGCCTGACAATACCTCAGTGCCTCCCACCCTAATTACCGGCACAGCTCAGCACTTCATTAGCACCGTCTGGCGAGCAGCCAGCGGCTCCTGTGGCTCTGGAGCATCCCGGTCCCAGGCGGACCCGGCACGGACCCGCACCCGGTGCCCCGTGGCGTGGGGGCTCCTGCCGGGCCCGGGGCCGCGCTGCTGGCTGGGCTGGCCCGGGTCACCTACCCTGGGGACACGGGAAGGCGGGTACGTGGGCAGGTGGCTGCGGGGTTGGGGGATAAGCCCTCCGGAGCACCGGGGGGAGCTGTGCCCGGCCAGAGGGGCGGCTGCCACCGGCGGCGTCCTGGCACGGCAGGGCTGCAGAGGTGCCCGGTGCTGTGCCCACGGATGGCACGGGGAGCAGAGCCTGCTGTGGTGTGTGTCCGAGTGTGTCCGTGTGTCTGTGCACACGAGTGTGTCGGTGTGTCTGTCCGTGCACACGGGTGTGTCTGTGTGTCTGTCTGTGCATATGAGTGTGTGTGTCTGTGCACGTGTGTCTGTGTGTCTGTGCACATGAGTGTGTCTGTGCACATGTGTGTCTGTGCACACGAGTGTGTCTGTGTGTCTGTGCACATGAGTGTCTGTGTGTCTGTGCACATGAGTGTGTCTGTGTGTCTGTGCACATGAGTGTGTCAGTGTGTCTGTGCACACGAGTGCGTCTGTGTGTCTGTCTGTGCACATGTGTGTGTCTGTGCACACGACTGTGTCTGTGTGTCTGTGCACACAAGTGTGTAGGTCTGTCTGTACACACGAGTGTGTCTGTGTGTCTGTCTGTGCACATGTGTGTGTCTGTGCACACGACTGTGTCTGTGTGTCTGTGCACACAAGTGTGTAGGTCTGTCTGTACACACGAGTGTGTCTGTGTGTCTGTCTGTGCACATGTGTGTGCCTGTCTGAGCACACGAGTGTGTCTGTGTGCCTGTCCGTGCACATGACCGTGCGTGTGCCTGTGTGCACAGCCCGGAAAGGTCACAGTCGGGGAAAGGCGTCAGCAGCCAAGAAAGGCTGGGGATGGAAAGCTGAGCCAGACCGAACGCGGGCGGCCAGGAGCGTCCTGCTCCAGCCCCTCCGTGCTCACGGGTTCCATCTGCGCCACGGCTGGAGTGGGTCTGCATGAGATGAGTGCTCCAGGGGCTGGGCAAGGTGCCTGGCCCGGGGATTTGGGCAGGATGGGGCCCAGAGGTGTCTGGAGGAGCCGTGCAGCGAGGGGTGCTTGGCTCCAGGGGAGCAAGGAGGAAGCAGCTGGTGAAAGGGAAGGGCTCAGCCTTTGTCCGTGTAGCACAGCGTGTGGTTTGCTGGTTGCACGCTGTCCCAGTGACCTACCACTGGTGTCACTCCTCACAGCTGCTCTCTGCTCTCTGCAGGGTCGTGGAGGCCAGCACCCTTCAGCAGGAGAGGCTGCAGGCCATCGCGGTGAGTCCCTGCTCAGGCCAGCGTCCCCACGTCCCCAGGGCATCACCTGCAGCTCACAACTGGGGCAGGCACCGGTGGGGAGGGGGCTGCAGGTGCAGGAGGGCTGGGGCAGGTGCTCTGCCACAGACTGGGGGTCTCCAGCAGCTGAACAAGGACTCAGAATGGCCCGTGCCAGTGTGCCCCTCTGGGGCTCTTCTTGGGGTGTCGTGGCTTGGCTGCACGGTTGAAACAGGGACAGAGCAAGCAACAGGCAGCTGGGAGGTTTAATTAACGAAGCAGCGCCTTGACGAGCCCCAAGTGAGGGAAATGAGTGACGATTCCCTCCCCCTCCTTCCCCAGGAGGGGCTGAGGATGGTGCTCTCCAGCCATGCCCGGCATGGGCACTAGTAATTCTATTAATTAGGGAGCAGTTGGGGGCCCTGCTGAGTGACCCCTCCCAGCTCAGAGCAGGCCCGGGGCTGGTTGAACCCACTGCAGCCCCAGTGCCCAGCCGGCAGCCAGCCCATCTCTGGCACACAAAGGGCAAATTGTTCTGGACCAGAGGAGAAAGCGCCGGGTGACGCGTCCGGGCTGGGTCTGACTCTGCTGAAATGATCTGGAGCAGCCCCAGGACGGGTGGCAGCGAGGGGGGGACGAGGTAGAGGCCGCGGGGGCTGGCAGCTCGCTCAGTGGGGCCGGCCGAGGGGAAGGTGACATTTTGAGATGGTGAACAGAGCCCAGGCTCTGCCCCAATTCCCCTACACCCTCAGTGCTTCAGTTAGTCCCAGGGAGAGCAGGGATTTGATACCAGCCTTGCTCTGGGGCGTTCCCAAGGCTGGGAACCCCATTCCCCGGGGGCAGCCCCTTGGCCCCGCTCCCCCCTGCCCGGCCATGCCCGGTGCTCGCCCCCTCCCCGCGCCGACCCCGGCCCCGCCGCTCCCGTCCCTCCAGGAGAAGCGGAAGCGTCAGACGGAGATCGAGAACAAAAGGCGGCAGCTCGAGGATGACAGGCGGCAGCTGCAGCATCTCAAGGTGAGGAGCCCCCCCGGGAGCCCCCGGGAGCCTCCCCGGCTGGGGAGGGCAGGACCGTGACCCCCTTCTGCTCCCCAGTCCAAGGCTCTGCGGGAGAGATGGCTCCTGGAAGGGGCCCCAGCTTCTGCCACCGAGGAGGAAGAGGCCATGAAGAAACAGATGCAGGAGGATGAGGTGAAGACCAAGGAGCTGGAGGAAACCATCCAGAGGTAACAGGGCCGGTGTGGGGCTGGATGTTGGGGTGCAGTGAGAGAGCACCCAAGTCCCTCCAGAGACTCCTGGGCAGGTGGGTGCTGGGATTCAGGTGGATCCCATGTGCTGGGCACGAGGCAGGGCACGCTGAGCTTGGAGCTGCTGGGAGAGGAGGTTCCACCATGGAGTTGCTTGAGCTCAGCCTGGAGCCTGAACCCTGAACCCTGGCTAGGTTCTTCTTGCCAGCTTTTCTCCAGGGGCTGCAGCCTGACCCAGAGCCTGCAGCCTGACCCAGAGCCTGCAGCCAGACCCAGAGCCTGCCCAGCCCTGCAGCCCCTCTGGGCATGGCCATCCCCAGCTGTGCTCTGCCTTGGGTGTCAGTGGGAGCCACAGGGTGGGGAGCTTCGGGCTGGGATACCCGGGAGGCTGCTGGGTGCCACCCCCTCGATGGCACGGTGCTGGCTCCCACAGGCTTCTGTCCTCATCGCGGTGTCCCAACCCTTGGGAAGGGGTGCGGGGAGGCTGAGAAGGGAGGTGGCTCAGCCCCTGCCCGCCCCCCTTGTGCCTGGGCAGCCGCAGGCGGGGCCCGGAGCCCCGGCCGGGCTCGGAGGTGTCCCGGCAGCGCAGCAGGAATGCAATCAGTCACGGTGGTGCCGCTAATTACCGAGCATCGGTGCAGAGAGGGGTCAGGCACGAAGGGGCCTTTGTGTCCGGCTAATGGCGCGGTGCATTCCTCGCCGGCGCCTGTGAGGAGCCCGGGGGAGCTCTGCCGGGGCAGGAATCCATGGGACTCCCCGGAGCTCTGCTCCATCCCAGTGGGGCTGTGCTGCCAGGCCGGTGGCTGAGAACTGGAGGTTGCCCTCGTGGAAGCTCAACCAGGTTTTGAGGGACACGTGCAGGAGCAGAATGATGATGGAGCAGCCTTGCTCTGGCCACCAAGTGAGGCACCACCAGTGTGCAGGGGTCACTCCCCCTGCCCAGTGCCCACGGGGGGTCTCTGCCATCCATTGGTGCTGAACCCATCGGCTTCTCCTCTGCAAAGAGACAGTGGCAGCCGTGCCAGAGTCTGTGTGTCCCTGCACCCAGGGGACAATCTGTGTGTCCCCTCTCCCCTGTGGCTGCCTGCACCACAGTTACCTGTCCCACACTCCCCTCGCCCTCTCAGCCCTGACTCTCCCTGCAGGCTGGAGAAGGAGCTGGAGATGCTGGAGAACAGCAGCTCAGTGGCTTCCACCAAGGAGAACCTGGCAGAGGCAGCAGGCAAGGAGGAGAAGAAGGCTGAGGCTGTCCCCAACACGCAGAAGGTGGGCACGGCTGCTGGCCATGGGCAGGGCTGCCAGCAATGGGGTCAGGGCTCTGGTGGGGATGGGTGGGTGTGTGGGTGGTGGATATGCAGGCAGGGGGGTTGTGGCAGGTCCTGGAAGCTCCTATAACCTCTCCCTTCTGTTTTGCAGAGTCCCCTGGGCACAGTTAAGGGTAGGTGAATCCTGACACCCCCCTCGGCCGTGTTTCAGCATCAACCACTCCCTCCTGCTGCCCTGAGGCCACATGGGTGGGGAGAGCCAGACAAGAGCCCTGTCCCCAGGTCCCCTCCCGGGCAGTGGTGCCCTGGGTGGGGGAGCCCTCCCAGGTGCCAGCCGTGGGGGGACACTCTGCCCTCCCTGGGCCCTGACCCGTGGGCACACCCGGCCTCAGGTGGTCGTCTCTCCTCTCCATCTCCAGCCAACAAGAGGGTCTCCAGCAGCCCCATGAAGGCAGTGGAAGGCAGTGAGATGATGAAGGCGGGTAGGTGCCCGCTGTGCCCTGGCAGGAGCGCTCCTTCCAGGCTGCTTCCCCTCCCCTCTGCACCGCAGCCGCTGCCCGCCGCGCCGCTCGATGCCTTTCCAAGCCCAGGGCAGAGAACATCCCTCACTGCAGCCACAGGGTTTGGGTTTGCTTTCAGCCCATGGCTGGTTTGTGGCTCAGAGCCCTTCTGCCTCAGCCCTGTTCCGTGTTTCATCCTTCCTGCTCTGTTTGCAGCTTCTCAGTGCAGGGGTGAGGCAGCAGAGTGGCAGCCACAGGGGCCTGCGGGGCACACGGGGCTGAGCTGGGGGGGCTGCAGCCAGCTCTGCTGCTGGAGGGGTTTGCTCTGCTTTGGGGCAGTGGCTCAGGCCAGACCACAACAGCAGCATGGGGCAGAGCCCATCTTGGGATCCTCGGAGCTAAGCACCATGCACAGGGCTGAGGGGACCCTGCTGCTGGCAGGGGCTGGCCAGGAGTGGAAGCAGAGATGCCAAGAATCGCGCATCCCATGGGGGCAGAGGGGCTGTCCCAGCAGCAGCACCCTCAGTGGGGGTTGCATCTCCTTGAGCATGAACCTGGCTCCAGCCCAGGCCCCACAGGCAGCACTGCTCACTGCCTGGACAGACAGACACGGCTCAGCCCGAGAACCGCAGCAGCAGTGGAGGTAAGGTGATGCCAGCAGCACCAGGATGGACACGGGTCCCAGGAGGAGGGAAGTGCCAGGGATGTCACACCCGCCTGTGCCATTCACTGCTCCTCGCTGCCGCCTTGCTAACACTGCTGAGCATCGCTGAGCCCTGCTGGGCACTGCTGGGCACTACTGAGTCCTGCTGGGCATCGCTGAGCCCTGCCAAGCCCTGCTGGGCACCACTGAGCCCTGCTGAGTCCTGCTGGGCACCACTGAGCCCTGCTGAGCCCTGCTGAGCACCACTGAGCCCTGCCAAGCCCTGCTGGGCACTGCTGAGCCCTGCTGAGCACCACAGCGCTGCCGCCACGCGCCGTCCCATCGCCATCTGCAGAGCAAGGGACGGGGAGGGCCAGGGCCGCCGTAACTCGCGCTGTCCTCTTTGTGTCCCAGCCATGTACTCGGTGGAGATCACGGTGGAGAAGGACAGAGTGACTGGGGAGACCAAGGTCCTGTCCAGCACCACCATGCTCCCCCAGAACCACTGTCTGCAGGGGGTCAAAGTGTACGAGGATGAGCTGAAAGGTACGGGCCAGCCCGCGCCGGTGGCAGGGGACGAGGGAGCGGCCACCTGAACATCCCAGCGGGCACCCAGCAGGGTGAGGAAATGCGGGGGCTGCTCCTGACAGCTTTGCCAGCTCTGTGAGGGCAGTCCCTCACCAACCCCAGTCCAGTGGACCGCAGGATCGTCATGGCAGCATAGTGTGGATGGTCCAGATGGGCCAGCCCTGGTTTGCACGTCGTGAGCCTGCACTGCTGGAGAGCAGAGAAGAGGATCTGTGGTGTCCAAGAGTCAGGAGCCTGTCCCGTGGGCAGGGAATGTGCACTAGCACTACGTTGGCCTGTCCCAGAGGCTGGCAGCAGGGAGTGTGGCTGATTGGTATGGTAGAAGTACAGCAGCAGGGACTGGTCCCTGTCTGCAGCTCCTGCTTTTGGGAACATCTGGGAACCTGCTCCAGAGGGCCTCGTGAAAACCAAGGGATCATCGTGGTGGCAAGGACCAGCCATGGAAGTGGGGCATCCTACTGGGAACTGTGATGCCTGAGTGGACCAACTTCCTCTTCAAGGAAAACACAGCACTGCCATTCACCCCCTCGGTGTGGCCATGGCCGTGCTGGCCCTGCCAGGCTGGGCACTGTCCCTCACTCAGTGCTGCCCACTGAGGCAGCTGCTCTGACCATCAGGTCATGCCCCAGGCCAAGAGGAAAATGCAACGAACCCTTGGTCACTCTGGCCAGGGTGCACATCTCTGCCTCCAGAGCCACGAGCTGGGCTGGGAGAGCCCCATCTCCTCCGGGCACGGGGCCACCACGTGCACTGGTCCTGCTGGATGTGGTGGGAACACACTGGGGCAGCAACTGCCCAGCATCACTGGGGTCTCGGAGGTGGCAGTGGTGACCTGCTGCAAAGTGTCACACCAGCCCTGGCCGAGCTGGCCGCCAGCAGACACTGTCCTGCCACAGGCAGCTTGGCCAGCTTGGCTTGGCCTGGCAAACAGCCGTGGCTCCCGCAGGGCTCGCTGAGCCTGAGGCTCTGGGAACAGCTCCTTCCATTGGGCTTTTATTTTGGTCTCCCCGGCTGCTGTCGGGCAGGAGCCAGGTGATGAGACAGAGTCTGGCAGCAGCTCCGCTGAGGGGAGGCTTGGGATGCTGTGGGAGTCCCAGCCTCAGTGGCAGGACCTTTGGGGAGGGGAAGGGGCCGCTCTGTGACCACACAGGAGCCAGGGCTGAGTGGGACATGCCAGGAGGAGCTTTGCCAGGTCGTCTCGTGCCCCCATCCCAAGCCCCTCTCACCCTCCCTCCTCTTGTCCCCGCAGTGGTGCACGCGGTGAGCGCCGAGGACGGGGCCCTGCAGAACGGGGCCCACCCCCTCAGCTCCTCCGAGGTCGACGAGCTCCTGCACAAGGCGGACGAGGCCACCCTGAGCGAAGCTGTCGGGCGCCAGACCCCAGCCAAGGCTGGCAAGGGGGGTGGCAGCGCCCCGGGCAGCCAGAAGCCGACGCCGCGACGGGAGATCACGGGGCTGCAGGCGAAGGTGCCACCGGGCGAGGGGACAGAGCCCAGCCAGGAGCAACCCGTCACCATGATCTTCATGGGCTACCAGAACGTGGAGGATGAGAACGAGACCAAGAAGGTGCTGGGGCTGGAGGGGACCATCAAGGCAGAGCTGGTGGTGATTGAGGATGCCGAGAGCAAGCCGGAGCCGGCACACAAGGACCACACGCCGCCCAACGGCACCGCCCTGGAGCCGGCGGCCGCCCAGCCGCTGGGCGAGGAGGGCGCGGGCGGGCAGAAGCCGGGTGCCAACGCCACAGATGCCAAGGAGGCCGAGCAGGAGACAGACGTGAAGAAGCAGCGCTGCAAGTGCTGCACGGTGATGTGAGCCCCCGCCGAGCCCCCTCCGCCCCGGCCCCCCCGGGCTCCCCCCCCACCGGACACAGCCCCTCTTTCTGCAGAACCGGGGAGATCCAACGTGGTGCCAACGGGGCCGCAGCGGGCAGCGGCCAGCCCCATCTGCCCGATGCCAGCCCCGTGCCGCCCCCCACCAGCGCTGCCTGTGGTATTTATTAGTGACCCCCCTCGCCCCACGGTGCGCCCGCCCCATCACAGCCCCGCCTCGTGCCCACCTGCCACCGGCAGCGGGGCCTTTCCCTCTGTCACCGACACCGTCCCACCCGCCGTGCCGTCGGAGGATGGAGCCGCCGGGCAGGGGGTCGGAGGACGGCACCGTGTCCGTGGATGACTCCCCGGGAGCCGCCACCAGCGGGACCCACTCTTGGCCCAGCCCACGGTGGGCATCGGACCCAGCCCTGTGCCAGCCCCTCCTCTGTGCCTCCATCATCCGCTGTTCCAGCGGGGAAAGGCCTGGCTCTGCTGGCCGCTGGCTGCCCGTGGACATCTCTGCTCCATCCCGTGTCCTCGTCCCTGAGGTCCCCAAGCCCTCGAGGACAGGGCGTGTCCAGGCAAGGGCATCGAGGGCAGCGTCCATCCCTCCCTGTACTCGGCTGTGGTCATGGCCAGGGCCACGTGGGGCTCCTGCAGGGTCAGCCCAGCCTGTCCCCAGGCCTGCTCTGCTCCTCCCGGGCTCAGCTCCACGTGCTGGAGCCCCTCACTCTGGTGCTGGCAGTGACAGCCATTCCTCTGTCTCGGCTGCCAGCCGGTGCCACTGGGCTCTGCCAGCTGAGGGGGCTGAACTGTGCTGTGGGCAGCGCCCGTGTCCTCCTGGGGCAGTGCCAGCAGGGAAGGGCAACTTGGGGGGCCCAGCCTTGTGGGGCAGGAGTGGGGTGGGGGTCCTGTGCTTCCTTGTGGCAGCAGGAGTGTGGCCCAGCATCCTGTTCCTTCCTGCCTCTGCTGCTCAGCAGCTTTGCAGAGCCACGTTCTGGGGTCCTGGGCTGCAGCTTTGGGGCCCCCAGGGGAGTGGGGCAGCCCAGTTCACCCCAGTACTGGCACTGGGAGCTGCCAGGGGTCTGGTGTCCCACAGAGGGCAGCCTCCCTGCTGCCCCACCCTGCACCCCAGCCCTTCAGTGGGGATTTCACCACCAGCACCAGCGTTTTCTCCCCACTGAGACCAGCTGGGGCAGGCGGGAGTCCCCCATGGTTTTTAGTCCCCAGTGCCCACATCAGCTGCCCCTGAGCTGCAGCAGCTGGGCTGGCAGTGCTCACATACTTGCCCAGGAGCTCTGGGCAGGGTGCAGCCACTAGTGAGGGATCCTTGTTCAAGTGTGAGAGGGTTCCTTCTGCCGTGAGGCTGGGCAAGTCCCCAGGATCCCCCAAAACGTGTGTGGAGCAGCATCCAAGCTGCCCAGAACACTGGTGGTCGAGCAGCCAGGGACAGGGCTCAGCTCCCCCAAGGATGGGCCTTCCTTCCCCCACACTCCCCCTGTGTGAGCAGTGACACCCCCTGTCCCCATGACATCCCCGTTGTCCCCCAGGTACCACCCAGGCTGCAGTTTTCCCCCCAGTAGAGTCATTGCAGGACTGGGGGGGGGAGGGCTCGTGGTGCCACCCCTGTCCTGAGCCTCAGCCAGGCACCCACAGCCCCTGGGAGAGGCAGGGCTGGGGAAGGGGGGCTTTGGGAGGGTACTGCCAGGGGAAGGGGGGCCTCTCCTGCCCCGTCCACTGCTGGGCATCGCTGGAGCCCCATTGCTGCAGAGCAGGGCACGGGCTGGGTGCCACAGGGCATCTGCCCCTGTAATCCTGGGGGGAATGTCACCTCTTGCCACCCCACATCAGGGGCCAACACCACCCACCCAGTCCCACCCTGGGCCCTGCAATCCCCCCAGCCCCAACCTGGGGCTCCCTCCCTCCCCCCCTTGGCACCCCCTGCCCCTCGGTTGGCTTTGACCCCCAGCCCAATCCGGTCCCGGGGGTGGTGGGGAGCAGGACCAGGCCCCGGGCCGGGGCTGGGGTGTGAGAGGAGTGGGCGGTGGGCCTGGCATCGTCCCCACCCCGCCCCACAGCCCCCCCTGCCCCTACCCAGCTCTGCTGAAGTGCACTTCCCGTGCCCCTGAGCTTTTCACTTGTGCCGAAGCCGTTTGAATCCCCTTCCTTTTCCCATCCCATCCCATCCCCACCCCGTTGTTTGTAAAACACCCAAACCGAGCAAATAAAACTGTGTGAACAACCAGCCTGGAGCCACCGATGGGGGGGAGGAGGCTGGGCTGGGGATGCTGGGAGGGTGGGGGTGGAAGGTTTGGGCTGGGTTCTGCTGTTCCCTCATTGTGTGGGCAGAGGATGTGGGGAGGAAAGGGATGAGGGGTGATGCTGCCCAGGTAAAGGGGGCATGGCCTGGTTTCCTGGATGCCCCCAAGTGCCACCACCACGTGGCCGTGGGTCTGGGTCCATCCCCAGGCTGGTGCAGGTCCTGCTCCTGCCCAGGGCTGGGATTCCAGGGCTCTCCCCTGGGGCAGTGGGGCCTCAACCCTTGCCGGTGCCAGCCCAGGTGCCAGCACACACCCTGCGGCGGGCGTGGAGTGCTCCTGGCTCCTTGGCATCACCTGTGGACTTTGGCTCAGCCCCAGGGTAAAACAGGCTCTGCTCACCTGCCCGGAAACGCAGAGCAGCCACAGCCACCAGCGTCCCCAGGCCAGCCAGTGCCAGCCCCAGTGGGAACGGGGGCACCAAGGGGGTAAGTGGGAGCCCAGCACCGCAGCTGGGGTGAGCTGGGGTCTGTCTGACACCAGTGCTGTGCTGGGGCGGCAGCGGGGCCAGGAGGGGCTCCTGGCAGGAGTGGGCTTCAGTGGGGGCAGAGAGGACGAGGACAGGGATGTGCCACAGGGACAGGGCTGAGTATCCTGGCACGGCATCTCCCGCTTGGCTGTGACACCCCGTGCCAGGAGGGAGGGCAGCTCTGGGCACTGGCAATGTCACCCACTCTGCCGGGATCCAGCCAGGTCCAGGCACCAAGGACACCGAGGACACTGTGCCCAGCCCTGCCTTTATCCTGGCAGGTGCCAGAGCCATCCAGAGCAGTCCCCAGGGCAGGAGGGAGCTGGGACTGGCAGTGCCAGGGCTGCTGTGGCAGCGAGGACACCCGCCTGTGCAAACACGGCGTTATGGCAGGGAGGCCCCTGGTGTGACAGGGGAGCCGGGGCTGCTCCTGGCTCAGGGCTCTGCTGCTGTCCCCTCCCCTGCCATGTCCCTCCCTGGGGGGACAGCAGGACACGCAGGCTCTGGCTGAGGCTTCAGGGCTCCTCAGGGCCGTTCATGGAGGGGCCGAAAGCGCTGGAGCAGGGTTGTGGCTGCATGGCCACACCACCGTGCCCGTGCACTGGCACACGGGTGCATTGGCACGTTGGTGCACGGGGCACCAGTGAGTCCCACGGCTCAGAGCCAAGGGCAGCCCCCCGGGCGTGGGACCAGCTGCAGCAAGGTGACGACAGCACAGGAATTTGGGGAGCACTGAGCACTGAGCCCAACCTGCTTCTTGGAACTGCCCACAGCTCCCTGGTGCTGAGCTTATCAGGGCCTCGCAGGCGCCCTCCCTCCCGGCCCCCCACACCCCAGCGCTGCCCCCCCGGCCACGCCCCGGCAGACACAGCTCGGCTGGGCGCCCCGGGGGCATGGGGACCCCTGCCCCGACAGCTCCATGGACAGTAAGTGCAGCGTGCTCGGGGGCGAGGGCAGTGCCAGGCGCTGGGGGGACGCCGTGTCCCCCTGGCCTCGGAGGGAGCGGTGCCTGTGCTGCGATGGTGGCAGTGAGGGTGTGCAGGGAGGGCTGGCGCTGCCTGGGGTGGGCAGCGGAGGGGCATGGACACGTGCTGGGATGTTTGTGTGCATCAACCCATCTGGGGGCAGCCCTTGGCTCAGGGTGGGCATGGAGTGGGCGCACTGCAGCTCTGTAGCCCTGTGCAGAACCCCCAAGCTGGGGGGACCCTGGAAGGTGCCCCAGATGTCTCCTTATGGCGGGGGGGAGGTCCCAGGCCAGACTGGTGGCAGTGTCATTGCTGTGCCCAGCACCTCCCACGGTGCTTGGCTGGGCCGGGGGCAGCCCAGGACCCCCGAGCAGGACCCCCTGCAGTCCCACAGCAGCAGACAGAGCTGAGGAGGCCGAATGTTTTGGGTGCAGCTCTGGGAGGAGCCGTTCCGCTTGCAGGGAGCCCTGATAAGAGCCCAGCTGGTTTCTGTGTCCCTGCTCCCCTCCTGTGCCAGCTGCCAGCGCTCCCCACTGAGGGGGTCCCCTTCCAGCCGGGATTTCATCCCTCCCAAACATGGTAAGAGGCGTGGGGCAGAAGGTTTTCATTGTCCTCGTCACTGGGGGCAATAAAAGAGCAAGAGTGAATCACAGCAGGGGAATTAAAAGGTAAATTCAGCAGGGCACAGCTTCAGGAAGAGAGGCTGAGCCACCAGGGCTGGGCACAGGGCTGGGCAGCAGTTCCAGCGGTGAGGCATCGCCTGGGGCTGGCCAGGATGTCCCAGCCAATGAGACCCACGTGCTCCTGCCCCAGGAAAGGTTTAAAAAGCTTCTGGCTGGGGCCCAGCCCCGCTTGCTTTGTGGGAGGGAGGATGGTGCATCCCGGGAGGGCTGGAGGTCCCCAGAATCACTGCGGGAAGGAGGCAGGCACCGAGTGCTCTCGTCCTGGGGATGAGCCAGGATGCTCCGGATGCAGGCAACACCGGGCACCTGCCTCTTCCTGGGCCTCATCCTGAGCTGTGCTTGCCAGGAGCGTGGCCCCCAGGCTCTGGGCTGCCCCTGCTGTCACCGTGGCCTTGCTCCAGTTTTGCTGTAAACTCCCAGGAGGCCGTGAGTGCCCGGGAACAGTGCCCAGCGGTGACACACCCTGACCTGCTAGGGCTCACTGGAGTGGCAGGTGACAGCAAAGCCGTGGCTAAACCTCAGCAAATAGCGGCACAGGAAGTGCTGCTGGCTCCAGGCACATCCAGCTTGTCTGCAGGTGACATGTGTGTCACCAGCTCTGGAGCCAGGGATGGCATCTGTGATGAGGTGGCAGCTGCTGTCTCATGGGGGACCCACCTGTGCTGCCCCTCCCTGTCTGGCATCCGCTGTTCCAGCTGGCTCTGGAGGACTGACCCCAGGGCTGGGGCTGTTCCCTCCTGCCCTGTGTGCCAGGGGGGTTAAAGTCCCCTCGTTTTATGAGCCATGAAACTGTTTTTATGACCCCTCTGTTCCTAGAGCTGGGCTATTTGGAGGCTCCTTTCTGTAAATGGCACAGGAGGATATTCCATGCAGGAGTGGATTCCATGCAGGAGTGGCCCAGGCACCGGCACCGCCTCTCCCGGCCCGAGCTCCCTCCCTGCCCTGTGCACGTGGAGAGGCCCGAGGCTGTCCGTGCCCAGAGCAGTGCCCAGCTGGATGTGGTGCCACCAGGAGCTCAGGGCTGAGGTCTCGCTGCCTCTGCAGCACTGACTGCCTGGGCAGGTTTGGCTGTGCTCCCTCAGAACCCGGCCAGGCTGGGGGACAGAGGTGGGTGGGCTTCTGGGCTCTGTGGCAGCTCCTGTTGGGAACGGTGCTTTGTGCTCTGGCTGCTCCTGCCCCACACGGGCAGGCTGGTGTGGCAGTTTCTGTCCCACGTGAGAACAGTGGAACCAGGCTGGGAGAGGGGCTGCATCTCACCCTCTGCTCCTTCTGCTGTTCTTAATGGCTGCTCTCCCCTCCTGCTTGCAGGGCCAGCCAGGTCGAGACCCTTGGCCTCTGCTGAACTGGGACTCTGAGGGTGACCTCAAAACTGAGCAGTGGCCCCTGTCTGGGACAAAGTTGGCACAGGAGTGACTCTTCCCAGGAGATGGACAGAGTCACCAGGCACCTTGTGTTCCAGCTGCCACAGGCCTCGCACAGGCACGACTCGCTGGCAGACCTGAGGGCCAGCAGCGATGATGACGTGTTCAGCTCTGCTCAGCACAGCAGCCAGAGGGTGGAAAATGGCTACAGCTGGAAGAGGAGGTCCCAGTCACCCTCGTATTTCCTGGAAGGTGGAAGAGATGTGTGGACCCCATCCCCGGACAGGGAGTCCAAGCTAGAGGTGGTGAGATCGGGAAGCCTGTACGACCTCCGGGCTTACAAGGGTGAGAGGAAACCCTCGAAGCTCTATGATGATGAGGAGCAAGACCTGTACAGGGTCCCTCCACCCAACATCTCACCTGAGAAAGCCAGGGAGCTGGAAGATGAGAGGAAGGAGGTCATCCGGAGCCAGGTGATGAGGAAGAGCTCAACTATTGCAGAGAGGTGGAGCTCCATGGATGAGCTGGGCGCCATCAGCACGGGCGTGGGCAGCCAAGGTGAAGGCAGGCACACAGGCAGTGTCCCCACCAGCTTTGCCATCTGGTTTGACAAATCTTCCCCAGGCAGGGCTGCAACGCCCGTTGACCCTGAGAATATTGACACAGAGCAGATCAACTTCTCTGCGGCTCGGCAGCAGTTCCTGATGCTGGAGAAGACCAACCCCGGCTCATTCTTCAGCCCAGGGCAGCAGGCCATGTCCCCAAGGCCAGAATCAGTGACAAAAGTCTCCAGAGAAGAGTGGTACAGCCCTGAGATGGCCACAAAGGGTACGAGAGGCTACAGCAGTGCCGGTGCATCAAGCCAGAGCGGGACAGACAAGAGCGTTTACCAGGTTTATGGTGTGTCCTCATACAAGACCCCCCAGAAAGAGGAGGTTTATGCTCCCAGAAAAGCTCACACAGAAAGGTCATATCCCATCGGGAAGACCTCCATCCTGACCAAAGCAGGGTCCAGAGAAGACCTGGACTCTGGCTTGGGTGAGATGTATAACGAAGCCACTGCGGGCTACGCCAGCGATGGAAGCACCTCCAACGAGACCTTCCATGTGGATCTGCAAGCCAGCAGCAATGGGCTGGGCAAGGAGACGAGGGTCAGCAATGAGACACCCATTGAGCGGGAGATCCGCATGGCCATGGAAAGGGAGGAGAACCTCTGGAAGGAAAGGGGGATCCAGCGGCTGACCTCCAGCAGCGAGCTGGTGGAGATCCAGACCAGGCCTGTCCTCAACATTCACACGTCTCCCGGCCCAGGCAGGAAAGGGAAGGACAGAGGCCGCGCTTCCCTTTACGTCCAGAGGGAAATTGAACAGGAAACGAAGCGTGAGGAAGATCTGAAGAGGCAGGGGAGGCTGCTGGGGGCATATGACAGGGGGACACAACAGGAGCTGGAGGAGCGCAGGAGGGTGTTCGAGCAGGAGGAAGCCCCCCCAGAGAAGCCCACTCCCCTGAAGCGGGCAGAGGAGAGGAGGAGCTGGGTTAAAGAGTTTGTGGTGGAGCAGCCCTCAAGCCCCAGCCCCGCAGAAGACACCAGGGCTGGGAGAAGCATTCCCAGCTACACAGCGAGCATTGCCCACTTCCAGCTGTCCCAGCCGCGCTTCGCCGCCAGCGAGAGGAGCCGGGAGCAGCCTTTGGTGTCCCAGCACGCTTCCGCCAGCGCCAGCAAATGGGGGAGCGAGGATTCCTGGGGAGGAAAGCTTCCCGACTCCACCCCGAGCCCCGCCAGCACTGCTGTCCTGCCCAGAGAGTACTTGAACCTCTCCTTCTGGAAGCCCAAGGTGTCCTTCGTGGAGGACATGGGGACCCAGAGCCCGCTGCGGAGGGAGGACGGCCGGGAGGAGCAGTACCGGCTGCGGACCTGGAAGCCACAGACGTCGGCGCTGATCGAGGAGGAGATCTGGAGTGACCTGCAGAGGGAAGAGGAGCTCCAGGAGCAGCGGAGGCGGCTGATGGACACCTACAGCAATGCTGTTCCCCAGGAGGGCTCCCGCTCTCGGCACAGCTCTGGTAAGGGAGCAGAGGGACACAGTGGAAGGGAAATGTAAGGATTCCTGTGTGCTGGTAGCAGGTTTGTTCTGGGAGAACTTGATACCAGCACACTGGAGTCAGCAGAACTGCTGCTGAGGAGGGATAGGCTCTGCAGGATTCCAGAGCTGCTCAGGTCTCGATGAGTTTGTGTCACGTTACAGCAGCAAACCGGGCTGGAAGGGTCCAGCTAATGCATTTTACCCCTTGTTCCTGCAGTCCCTGGCTGAGCCCCAGGCACGGGGTCCCAGCTTTGACCAAACCTGCTGGACCTGCTGTGGAGGGAGGTTTGGGGCAGGGGCCTGACACTCCTGTGGGTCTCCACCCCCTGGGAGTGGAACTGAGGTCACCCCCACAATGCTCTTTCTCTCCAAGCTGCCTCAGGTGCCAGTGGCAACTACTCAGTGTCCGAGTCTCCTGCCTCCTCTCCTGCCTCACACCAGGCGGGGATCCTGGGGCTGATCTCATCCTTCACCCCACTGAGAGTGACCAGTTCCTCCCAGGGCAGCACAGAGACCCTCACCCCTGACTCGTCGCGTTCCAGCCCCTTTGAGGAGCGAAGGAAGAGGGTGAAGGAGGATGGAAAGGTGAACATGCCCACCCTGCTTGTGCCAAGTGGTTGGGGGGCTTGAGCCTGGGGGAGACTGGTGGCTCTGGGGCTGGAGGTGGCTGTTCCTGACTCCCACCTGGAGCTGGAGATCCAGCTGCTCAGCCTGGTGGGAGAGCTGGTGGTGGTGGCACCATCCAGGGGCCATGTGAGCCCCCCAGGCAGCGCCTGCTGTTCAGAGCTGCCAGCACTGGGTGGGACAGGCGAGGAGCAGCAGTTTCCTCCTGTGGGGGATCCTGGCCTGGGCTCTTTCCCCAACCCCAGTGAGGGCTTGGCTGCATGTGCTGCCTTCCCTTGCCTCTCCTGTGCCCCTGCTGGGAGTCAGATCTGGCAGACCTCTGGATATTCCCCTGCCAGGCTGCCATTATCTAATCGTGTTTTCCTCTTTCCACAGTACGCAGGCATTGAACCCGTTGACAAGGTCAACACAGAGGTAAAATCCCTTCATGAACGCGGGGGCTGCCCTGACACCTCCCACCTTCCCCCGCTCCCCTCACTCCTGGAGGCTTGTGGGATGGACAGGGGTGGACAGGATGGTCCTGGCTCCCATGGAGCCACGGGCACCACTTGGGTGGAGAAAAGGTGGAGAAAAGGAGACTCAGAGGTGACCTTATCATTCTCTACAACTTCCTGAAGGGTGGGTGTAGTCAGGTGGGGTTGGGCTCTTTCTCCAGGCAGCAACTGGCAGAACCAGAGGACACGGTCTCAAGCTGCACCAAAGGAAATATAGGTTGGATATTAGGAAAAAGTTTTTCACAGAGAGGGATAAAGTTCTGGAATGGCTGCTCAGGGAGGTGGTGGAGTCACCATCCCTGGATGTATTTAAAAAAATTATTTTGCACTTGGTTCCAGGTTTTATTTCAGTTGTCAGTTAACAGGTTGGACTCGATCTCGAAGGTCTCTTCCAACCTTGTGTTTCTGTGATTCTGTGACACTGGGTCAGGCAGAGCAGGCTGGGGAGCTGGCAGGGGGAGGGGGGACAGCTCTGCAGACCAGATCGTTGTGAAAGTCTCTTCTTTACAAAGATCCCGCTCGTTCTGGTCTCTGCAGGTGGTGGAAAGCACCCGAGTGTTTCGCCACAAGAGCGTCATGGCCCAGCGCTGGGAGGCCGGGCAGTACGTCCGGGATGAGGACTGAGGGACCCCCGGGCTGGGGGCTGGCCCTGTTCACCACCAGCTGATGCGTGACCTAAATACTCCATCAGTTCCACCCTTGGCCATCGCAACAATCAGAGATGTGAACCCTGCAAATCAATCTGGTTTATTGTTAAACTGATAATTCTTCCATGCAATAGATCAGCTCCTTCCTCCTCCTCCTCCTCCCTATGGGGTGGAGGAACACTTTTTTTTTTTTTTTTTCTTAAGAGGGAAAAAATTGGATCAGTGTCTTTTTAATCACTTCTGCCTGGAGCCAGCCAGGTGAAATCACCCGATAATTCACTTTGCCCCTCGGGAGCTGTGTCTCAGGCTTATGAAAAAGCTGTTTTATTTCTCAGTGGTTTTAGGTTTTTAAGTACCACCAGGCTGAGCATTGCCGTGGGGCTACCTGAACTGAGGCCTCTGGATCAGTGTTGCCGTGGGACTTGGGAATCAACATTGGTTTAACTCCTGTGATCCGTGGAGATGCAGCAATGGAATATAAAAATATATATAAATGCTGTTTATTTTGCTAATTTATTAAAGAGTTGTTATACTCCCTCGGTCTTCCAGGCCCGTTCTGTCCGCCTGCTCCACTGGTTTTGCTCCGGATTTTCAGAGGAGCCCCCGCGGTTGGGACGCGGGGCTGGGGCTGGAGCCGGAGCCTTCCGGGGCTGGGGGAGCACCGGGGTCCCACCGGCCGGGCCTCGGAGCACCCGGGGCCGGTGGGACGAGTCCCTCCGCGGGGCGGGGGCGGCACTGCAGGGTGGCACCGGGGGATGGCACAGGGTGGGCTTGAAAGTCCCGTTCGACCCCAACCGCGCTGCGGCCCGTGCCCGTCCGCCCGCCCCCGCTAGGGGGCTCCCGGGCAGCGCCCGCGGGTCCGGTACGGACCGGCCGGGACCCCGGTACCGACCCCTCCGCAAGCGCTGACCGGGGTCCGGTACGGACCGGCCGGGACCCCGGTACCGACCCCTCCGCAAGCGCTGACCGGCGTCCGGTACGGATCCACTGAGATCCCGGTACGGACCCGCCCGGACACCGGTACCGACCCCTCCGCAAGTGCTGAGTGGGGTCTGGTACGGATCCACTGAGATCCCGGTACGGACCGGCCGGGACACCGGTACCGACCCACTCTGCAAGCGCTGACGAGGCTCCCGGTGCGGACCCCGCCCCGCTCGGTGGGCGCTGACCGGGGGTTCCCCGGTGGAGCCCCAGGGAGGTGCCCGGGTGCTGTGACAGGTCAGAGCTGGCACATGGTGCAACCCGTTCCTCCCGTCAGCAGCCGCTCGTTCCCGAGCCTTGGGCGTGGGCCGAACCGAACAGCAACGGGGAGGAAAGAGCCCGAGCCGGGGTGGTTTGGGGGTCTGGGGGCTGAGGGAAGCGGGGAGCAGAGGTGTGGCTGCGGCCGGGTCACCCGGGACCGGCGGGACAGCTCTCAGTCCGGGTGTCACGGTGATGCCACCGGAGCTCCAAAGCACAAGAGGAGCCGGCAGACGCCTTCCAGCACCCGAGCAGTTTGTCTGGTTTGATGTCTCTTCAAACGTCCTTAAGTTACTTGATGTTCAGTTGGTTGAATGGGACCAAGTGGGGCAAAGAGCTTGGCCCCCAAGGCTTCGTTTGACACCATGGGAATGGCTCCCAGGGCTTCAAAGGGCCCAAAGCTCTGTGCCACTGGGCTGGGAGCAGGGGAGACTGAGCACAACAGGGAACACACCGGTGTTCCAGGAAAGCATCACCTCCTGTTCAGACACAGACAGACAGGACTGAATTAAAGGTTCTTTTATTTGGCTCTGCCAACACTGCAACCAAAAACCTGACTGAGCTGTAACAGCACTGGGGCAGCTGAGCAGAGCTGAGCACACCTCCCAGTGCCTTTGTGGAGTTGTGTTTTGTACTCCAGGGAAACCACTTACCATAAAACCTTTCAGCATTGTCAGACACTTCAAATAACTTCTTAAAACAGCTACAAATTCTTCAATCTACAAATCTTTCCCAAAGGGAAATGACCTGAACCTTTTCAGAAGCATTTCTGCGAGGTTGGGATTGGCAGCGTCATCACTCTCCTGTCGCTCATCCTTCTCCACAGGCTGAGCTGTGTGGGGTGTCAACCTCAAAATGTGGGTGCAGCTGCTGCTCCTGGCCAGGCTCTGCCACTTCCAAGCCCCCTCTATATCAGCAGTGATGGTTTCTAACAGCATTGACTGTGTGGTAGAACATTAACTTGTTTGGCAAATGTGAAACTGAAGACCTTCATTAACTCATTGAATTATCAATTCCAGTAACAGAAAAAACAACAAAGGAACTTCCCTGAAAGCCAAGGCGCTGCAGATCTGTAGGTACCTTCAGTGCCAAGGCGAAGCCCAGCAGAAGGATGTTTGTTCTCAACCTACACCAAATATTTCAGTAGGATTGTGTTTCAGAGCAGCCTTGGAGTGGTTGAAGGGGCAAAGCTGAAGGGACACCCCTATGTCCTGGTCTTCCTCACTCCTCCTCTGACTTCCCGGGTAATAACTTTCAAGATCTTATCAATTTTGGCTTTTGACAGTGCCTTCTTGCTGTACCACACTTTGTCCCAGACGGAGTACAGTGACTTGGGAGACAGATAAAGAGGGTGGTTGTCTTCCAGCATGTCTGCTGGCCTCTTATTGGCATACTCCTTGTAACTGGCGACCGGGCAGTTCTCTGGATCCTCAGGCTTGGCAAAGAGCCGTAGGCTTACCTCCCCTTCATTTTCCCCGGGGATCGGATCATCCTTCCACTCCAAGTACTCCACCTCTCCTTTGGTCTTCCTCAGCACCACCTGTCCCCAGTAGAGCTGGTGGGCCTGGTGGTGGGTGTTTGCCCCAAACCCCCTAATGAGGTTGATGAACATGAGGTGCAGCAAGCCATGAGGGTCTGTATTGCTTAAAATTCCCTTCTTGTGAAGGTTTTCCACATCTTCATCTGTCAGGTTCTCCACAACATTCCACCCTTCCTCCTTCTTTTGAAACAGGTACCAATGCTTCAATTTATAGGCTTCCTGAGAGGCCTTGAACTCTGGCCCTCTCAACATGCTGTACTGGTAGTTGTGGTCCTGGAGGTACCGGTTGATGTTGCACCGGAAAAGGCTTAAGGAATTGGCAGAAAAATCCTTGCCATTTTGTTTCTTGGCAGAGCTGAAGAACAAGACCAAGTAGTGGTCAAGGTCTGCAGGTGGCAGCATGTGGATCTTGCGTGTCTCGGAGGGGTGGTGCAACTTCAGCCACTCTTCAAACACTTTAATGTCTACAGTGCTATAGCTTTTTTTTCTCTCCTGCTTCTTCAGCACATCTAAAAGACAAGACACAGCTTTGTGAACAGGAAGAATCCACAAGGATCAGTAAAACACAAGGAGATACAGGATAGTGTCCACCTGCTTTCTGGAAGTCATTCAGAGAGGACAAGACTCTCCCAAACCCCTTCCCCTAGAAGTGTGGGTCATATTTGTGTTCTCCACAAGACAGAACAACCCAACAGTGCCCAGTTCTCCAGGGAAAGTTGGGCTCCTTCGTGCTCCCTCTCCCTTGGCAGCTGGCCCTGCTCACTGCCATACAGGGAAATTTCCCTTTCACTGTGAAATAACAGCATGAACCAAAGGTTGGGATGGATGGTGAGGGAGAAAAAACAGGCGAGTAAAAGTGTACTATGGTTTTGTTTAAAGGATTGCCAGGATTCCAGTTGGGCTCTCTCTCGAGTTGCCATGGCAATACCACATCTACCTAGTTCGATGTAGCATGAGAAATGAATTCTTTGGATTGCTGGAAAGCTCCATCTGCTCGCCTGTGACTCGTCCAGGGCTGAGGATGGGGCGATGGAAAAGGGCTCATGAGCCAACACCTAGAACCCTTTTTGCACCAGGTTCTTTACAGGCTTAGTTGTCATCCTGAAAGACTGATGGCTGTCCCACTGGTTTGGGGTTTTGGCCTGTTTTGTACTGGTTGTTCCAGGTGCAGGGAGGAACAGCTCATGAATCAATAATGCTGAGGCCTCCTCTGAGCCATGAGCCAGTTACCTTGGCAGAAACAGCTACTACAGACATTCCCAGAAGAATTCCCAGTCTCTTCACATGACACATGACGTCAGTTATGAAAATAGTAAAATACTGCTCCCAAACCCCAACTGTGGCAGTTTGTGTGGTTATGGCTCCACAAGGAACAACAAACCCAGGACCAGCACTGGTGCTATAAGCACATCCCAGGCAGACCCCAAATGCCTCAGCAACCTCAGCCCTTCACAAGGACATTCCCAGGCCCCTGTGCTGCAGGATAGCACATAGCAAACCTTCATTCTTGCAAGGACTAAAGCAATGTTTGGAGTCCTGCATTTCCTATGCAGGACTGACACTCTGCTGCCACTGGCCTTGGTGCAGCCAGAGCTTTGGCCACAATTTCTCTACATTACTTCCTCTTGTTTCTTTCTCTTGAGACCTGAGTTCCCTGCTCCAGCTCCAGTTTCCCACAGGGACTCTCTCAAGTACAGCCAACATACTGTGTGTGGGCACTGGGTAAAATGGAAGACCAAAGTATTCAAACAGGAATGTTGGGGCTGGGGCACAGCCAAGAACACCTTTGGGTATCCCAGAAGGGCATTCCCTACAGAAGTACCAATTCCTTCAGGCAGGGAGCTTTGTAGACCCCTCAAACAGAAACAGGAGTGCCCCAAATCCAAGAGATTTACTTAGATGCTGCAGTACAGATCTTGGCAGTGATGTGAACTCGCCCTCCTTGGATATTTTGGGAAAGTGATTAATGGAACACCCCCACACCCCTGCAGGCACAGAACTCCACACTGTCTTACCTCCATTTGAGGCTGCAGGTGGATGGCTCTCTGGACTCTGGAAGGCTGAAGAACAACAAGGTCTCTGCCTGGATCCTGATGTCTCGCTGTCCTCATCCAAGATCTCAGCACTGTCCCCACTGGAGCCTGTTCCCGATATGCCACGCTCCAGAGGGCTCAGCTGGAGATGTTGCTGAACAGCAGCAGTGGCTTGGAGCTCAAAGAACATCACTGAGGGCTGTGATTCAAGCTGAGCCTTGGCTTCAGTGCTGGGGACAGGAAGGCGTTTTAAACATACCTTTGGCGCTGCTGATCCCAGGAGGCTCCTTGCTCCGGAAGTTTCAGCCCTGGGCCCTGCAGGAGTGGAAGAAGACAACCTTATTATGTTCCTGCTCAGGTCCTCTGAGTTGCTGACAGGAGCCTGCAGAATGTAGGCACGGGCTAGTGGTGGCTTTGCTGTGGGGGCAAAGGCAGCTTCTTGGGAGGCTGTTGGCAATGCCATCTTCTGGCAGTGGTGCATCTGCAACTCCTTAGCAGATGGCTCTGACACATCCTGGCTGATTATGTCTCCTTGGCTGTCTTCATCTGCCTCACACTGCTCTTCATCAGAGATGATGATCTGTACTTCTTTGTCACTTTTGGACTCCACATCCTCTTTGCTAGTTTGGAGTATACTACTAGACATGGAGAAGTGCTGCTCTGCTGCAGAGAATGATGTTTTGGGTTTCCTGGTATTTTGACTGCCCTTGGGCTCATTATTCCTTGTGTAGGCGATGTCAGCCTTCTGCTCAGTGACCCCTTGGGATCTGCCACATGACCCTGTGCTCCCAGAATCTTCTTGATTCATCTCGAAAGATGATGGGGTCAGCTTGAGCTTCTTTTCCTCAAAGCTGGATTCCCTTGCCAAAGACTCAGAAGTCAAGAGCCTCTTTCTGTCTCCTACACACTCAGTCACTTCTTCACCTCTGTTTTGTGACTTCCCACAATGCCAGTGATAGGCATGCCCAGCTCTGCACATCCACAGCACAGCGTTGTCATTGCTACCGTGATCCATGTTCTGCATAAATTCCAGGGCTGGGATCTGGCTGCATATGGTCCCATGAGTGTGTGCCCAGATCACAAGGTTGGAAAGATCCACCTGAAGGGAACTGGTACTGCTGCACCCTCTGTCACTGGTGCTCTCGCTCTGTAAAGATGTTGGAGAGAACGTGAGTGAGAGAGGATGTGCAGACATGAGCAGTCCTGGGGCTGCTTCTGTCCCTCCCCAACAGTGCAATAATTGTAGACTGGCAATCTCATTCAGGACTCCTTTTAAAGATCAATTTGTTCTTTCTTTCTTGTCTGTGCTATCATTTATGCCATAACAGAACACTCACCATGCTGCTGCTTTCTGTCTCACTGAGCCTTCTCTCAGGTGGGGATCAGTAAGTGATGCTTTGAATGCCTTTTCTCTCTCAGCACCTGAAAGGATCATCACATGCATGTGCTATATACATGGAGAAGTGTATATGTATATATATAAAACCCTGACCAGAAGATGTAACTGAATTTCTCCATGCTCAGCCCACTGCAGGCCTGTGCCCTCCCTGGGCTGAGCTCCCACTGAACTCCCAGGAGCTCTACACACAAAACCTGCCTGGGGTAAATATTTGCAGGATCAGCCTCTGCAACACCAACCAAACGGAAACTAAATATAAACACTGAAAATAGAATTTTACAAACTGAACTCTACAAGCCATTCCTTCAGCGCTCTGGGGTTGGCAAGCTCTGTGTCTCCAAGTGCTGAACTGCAGAGAGAGAACAAGGAATAGTGAGGCTGGTTCAGCCTGACATTCTCTGACTTTGCAAACAGTAACAAGAGGCAATTTCCCAACTGAAGGACTTGCACATGCAACTTGTATTTATATTAGAGACTAAATCTGAAACTCTCCCATCTGTTTGGAAGGCTCCATGCAGCAGCCTGGAAGTCATCCCTGTTTTTGTGTCACAGGGAACACACAGCGTGCCCTCAGCACCACGGCAGCGCGGGAGCCATCGCTGACACCGCACGCTCGCAGCTCAGTCCATGATTAATTAAAAGCTTTGCAATCAATGGTGGTAAAAGAGGCAAGGCTGAAAATGCTGGACACGGGAGCCTTGTCAAAAGTGGTTCTTTGAGCAGTTCTTTTGAGCAGTTCTGGCTACACAGAGCTCAGCTCTTGGGGAGAACAGGCCCTGGCTGGCAGTCTGTGAGCGCATGCTGCTGAGAGCACACCTGAGCACACCTGAGCAGGCACAGGAGCTCCAGCCCCAGGGCTCCTGATCTCCCAGACAGCTGGGCAACACGGGAGAACCCCATCCCAGCTGACAGCTGCAGGGCTGCTCTGCAATCCATGAACACAGTGCTTGTCCACAGGGATGCATCTCTGTAGTCAGAGGGTGAGGGTGAAGGCTGGCTGAGGGTGAAGCCAGCAGCACAGGGGCAGGAAGGGCTGTGAGTGCTGGTCCTGGGGCAGTGCTGTGCCCAGTGCCCTCAGTGCCCAGTGCCTTTGGTGCCCATCCAGCACCAGCCCAACACACTGGCTCTCCTGTCCAAACAGAACAGGTCACACCTCTCGCAGGTGCCAGCTGATCAGGAGGCACAGGAACTGCTCTCTTTGGGGTGAGCCTGCAGCACAGCACACAGCTCCTTTCTGCACTTAGGCTCCATCAATCCATATGTTCCTTCCTAATGATAGCACAGATAATTTTAGCCCAAATGCTTGGCTGTTGCACGTGCCAGCATGTGGAATGTGCAAAGGCGGGATTTACTGAGAATGTTTTACTGAAATCCGCTGCTGCTTTAACAAAAAAATCAGACAATAAAAGCCTTTTTGGAAGCAGCAAATGCAATCTGAGCTCCTGATGTTAATCAAGGCCTTGTATGGGATCTGCTGTTCCCGTGAGCTCACTGCTGATGAACCCCAGCAAACAGGGCAGGGAGTCACCTCCAGTGGCCATTTCAGCTGCCCTGACCCCTCACGGGCTCTGCCCAAGCTTCTCCCCAGAGGGGTTTGGCCTGTTCCCACCTCCCAATGGCCAGGGAGTTCACAACCTGCTCTGCTGAGCCCCTACAAGCTGAACTTGGGGAAGCACCATTTTCCCTCCTGAAGTATAAGAGAGTTTTATCTTCAAGTTCAGCCTGTGCAACTCAGACAGGCTCAAAGGAACTTCCATGCCAACAATCTGGTGCCTTCAGTCAGTGTGGGAAAGGGTAACAGGAACGGAAGCTCCGCATGGTCATAGGGCCACAAAATCACTGACTTGGCAGATGAACATCTTGATCCCTATCACAGGCTCTGCAAATGGAATGCTTTTATCTTCCCTTATCTCCAGGCACATGTCTTCCTCTTCCTGATCTCTTTGAAAGAAAAGCCTTTTTTTCTTCTCTTGCTGTTTAGTTCCCAGCACAGGCTCTGGTGCTCAGCTACAGACCCCTTAGGCTGCTGTGGCCCTCAGACTTCCAGCAGCTGAGATTCCCTCAAAGGAATGGCAAGTGGAATCAGTCTGGATTCACAGTCACAGCTGAGTGAGAAAAATGACCACTGTCCTTCCCCCAAAGGCTGAACTAGCATATCTGCTTTCCCTTTGAATAATAAAAATCCATCTTGATCTTCACCTCAGTTTTTCCCTGCTTCCAGCAACCCTGGGACCCCTGTGGAGAAGGGTATGGGCTTAAAGTTTGGGGCTGAGGTTTGTTTTGGAGCCTTGTTCCTGATTCAGTGTCTGTGTGGCTGGGAGTGATGTTGTGGGTTAATCCTCTTTCCAGGAGAGGCTCCCATCTGATAATGGACACTGTGTACAGGACCCACACCTTTCTGCAGGAAAACAGGACATTCCAGAGCTGTACAGTAAAGGATTTTAGTTTTTTTTTAACCCACAGGGAATTCAGTCTACTGCTGAAACCTACAGTTAGGTAAATTCAGGCTCACTCATGGAAAAAAAAAGTTTGAGGGTTTTCTTTGTGTTTTTATTTGTTTGTTGGTTGGTTTTGGGTTTTTTTCCTTTGGTTTTTTTTTTTTTTTTTTTTGTTTGTTTTGGGGTTTTTTTTTGGTTTTTTTGGGTTTTTTTTTTTTTTTAATGGTTATTTTTTGGGTGCTGATTTTACCTCTGTATTCCAGAAAATGCAGCCAGGTAATTTCACAAGAGTCTCCAGCACTTCAGGGGAGACTGAACTTTGGGCTGACTGAAACACGGAAATGCTTTTTTCAGTTTTAAGACTTTATGCGTGTCCTTTGAGTCCTTGGTTGGGGGGGAAGGCAAACTCAGCACTTTCTGAGATTTATCCTCCTGTAAGGTCTGCCAGACACAGAGTTGCCCTGAGATTGTCACCACTGGGATCTTCCTCTCTCCCCCTCCCAGGCGTGCTGAAGGCCTGAACCCATAAAACAGACACAGCCTTGTGCAAACAGGAGCACTACATAAAGACACCAATTTGGAGGCACTAAAAGCCCTTTGCCCCCTCTGTCCTTGTCCCATTGCCCTGTGACAGCCCTGGCTGGTGCCTCTCACGGGCTCCAACGCCTGTTTTGCAGATTAGAACCTGGGACACGCACGGAGCCAGAGAATTGGAGAGCTCTGACTTCCCTGCTCCAGATAAGACAGTGCAGGAAACTGCAACAATCCTGCTAGGAAAACAACAGGATACAGAACAGTGCTTAAACTTGACTCCTGCCCTGCTCCCTTGGGAAACCCTCCCTGGAGGTGAGGGGACATGGGACAGCCCCCAAACACACGTGTGGGGCATTGCCAGAGCATGGAGGCACTGCTGGGGCTGTGTCAGGGCAGGAAGGGCTGAAGCTGCTCTCAAACACATCTGGCTGCAGCACGGGAGCTGAGTGGAGCAGCTGCAGCTCATGGCTGCCAGAAATCATGGAGCTTGTCCCACCCTCCTTAGCAGGAGCCCGGGGGATGGATCCATCATTTCCTAACACATCGGTTTTCCTGTCCTCCGCGTTGTTTGTTTGCCTCCTCATCTGCCCTGTACAAGAATCTTCTGAGCACCTCTTCAGCTCTCTTCCTGCTTCCCCACATCCTTCCACCAGCCCCTCCTGCCCTGCTTGCAGAAATACAATTCCCAGGATACATCCTGTACTTGCTACAGGGCACCATGCCTCCATTTTGAGAGCTGCTCCCAGAAAATCCCACCCGGAGCGTCTGTGGAGGGCAGGATCTGACTGCAGGCACCAGCTCCAAGAGGGAGACCGACCCTGCTGGCAAACACTGGCCTCCAGCACCACATTCCTTAAACAAGACCTTTTTTGTTCAAAGACTCGGACACCACTTTTTCCCTGAGCTCTAATTATCTCTGCTCCTGAGGGGCTGCTTTGCGGAGCCACTGGCCTGGGATGCAACTGTGAGCACTAAATCAAGGCCTCTGAAAAATGCTAATAAAAGCCACAGGCAGCTGGCACAGCACTGCCTGGGCCACCAAACAGGAATCAGCCACCAAACCAGCCTGAGTGAAGGAAAAAATTCATTGGAAACCATCAACTTCTATTAATAGGAGCTCACGTTGTATTTCCCAGGAGGAAGTTGGAAAGCTGCAATCAGCGATGGCCAAATCTGTGACCTGGGCAGGAAATGCTGCAGCGTCACTGTCACAGTGTCAAGGTGGAGTGTGGGGCACCCCACACCTGTGCCACTGCCCTGGGGACAGCTGCCTGGCCTGGCCCCACGATTCCCCGTGCAAACAGTGACAGATAAGCACAGGGACGTCACCGGCACAGCCCAGCCGTGGGGATTGTGTCCCCCACTGTCGTGTCACGGTGATCTGTCCCCTCACCCTGCCCACGAGCTGCTGGGGGGCAGAAGGCAGAAAGCCCGTGC